GAAGAACTCTCCAGTAGTGTAATCCAATGCAAGGTATGGTATATTCCCACTCACAGTCTATAAATGTAGGTAATATTTGATTTAGGTTCTAGTTAGCTCAATCACAAACGAAAATAGAACGAGGGATATGTGTGTAGCAATGTATTTGTTAGCAAGCAACAATATGTCACGCTATGTAGTTACACAACATGAAGTGTCTTCAAGGTCACTCACTAAAACAACAGGTACAGTCATTTAATGATAAATATACATACAGTGAAAGGTTGACAAGATAAATACAAATAATATTAAAAACTATTTACAAAACAAAGCTGTCAATCATATCTCTACACGCCCTTATAGTTCTATCTGACTTAAATTGTGCTATTTCAGGGATTCCTATTTCGTATAATAATTCACTCATATCTCCTTTCTTCCTATGGAACTCAGCAGTAAGACAGGTGGTGGCGAAGTCATTAAAAATTGTATCAGATAGTTTGTGGAGATAAATAACGCATCATTCGGGAAACAACATGATCGTTTGATGTTCGATTCATACTAACAGCAAGCACGTACTATTTAGGTATATGTGCCTTGTGGCTATCCGGACGAGTGGTAGATATTTTGACCTATATATTACAGAGTGGCATTAGCATGTCACTAGTAATTGCTCAAAAGTAACGATAGCCAAGTACAATTTTAGTTCATTAGTCATGATGTTGGCAACATAAGCTTCCGCAAGTTCACGTTATGAAGAACAAACATAGAGATCAAAATAGGACGTTACATAAGGTATTAATGTGTTTTATGTGTTATCCTGGTTTTCGTATATGTGTGTAAATAGTCAGAAGTGTGCAGCGGTTTGTACGTATTTGCAGTTGTGGTAAGTGCAAATGGGTGACTCTGTAGTGGCATTGGACAATAGCCACACAATCCACAAAGCTGTGAACACGAGACTACTCAGAAAATAGATATTCAATATTTAACGCGGAGAAATACCTAACAATGGAGAAGGCGCGAACAAGGAATTGAATGGACTGGAGTTGATCGAGTGGCATGGCTCGGCCATGCAGGCGTGGTCTCTGCTGAATGTTACCTTATATCATCTATTCATATTAAATATATTGTTCTTCCTCTAGCCTAACCTTGTTCTACATCATGTATTGGTAATTGATATGATACAGTGAGTTGATGTAGTCGATGGTGTGACTTCCACGTAAGATCTTATAGATTAGGCAGTTATATCATGACAAATCTACAAATTTAGGATTAGGTCTATTATTAGAGCAGTACTAATATCATACTAGACCATAATTCTACAACTCCATTATGGACGCTGAACCCAGTTCCTGACTCATATTCTTTCAGGAAAGAGTGTCTGTGCGTAATTATCAATTGTACCTGCTAGAGAAAGCCTTGTTCAGATAAATTGTATTTGTCTTCTTCCCATTTTTGTGTATTTAGTAGCACATATTTACCATGGTTGTACCGTCTTTCTATACTGCTAAACGAAAGCTATTACTTATTGTTTTATTTTGTCTTATTTCACCTGAAGCTCGTCAGTTAACTTTTGTAGTGGTAAACAAATCTTCAACATAAATAGCCCTGTAAGTCTTCGACATGGGATGCCAACCACCTTAATTTAATGAACTTACCTAGCTGAAGGAGCTCGATCACGCATCCGCACCAGATCACGTGTGGAAACACCGAGCTCAACATCCCCTGCAACCGCTAGCCAGATTGGATCAGACGATCCTCGATATAATAATAGTCTATCAAATATATCTTCGAACCTCCTCGCTTCTGTCTTTTGATTTCATTCTATGTACACGACTCATAGTACACGTTACTGTTTAAAGTGTTATCAAACTCCGAATATCTGTTGCGTCTTCACTGTTGTGCTGTACGAATTTTTCGGATTTTGGAATTCACGCCAGACGTATTCGCCACATATTTGCCGGTACACTCCTGTACAATACCAAATACCCATACCATTTCAATTTGACGGTTTATTGCCTAGTTCTTGTATTTGAAACTGGCATTTCGAGAGGAAATCCAAAAAAGAACTATATAATTACGACTAGACTAATTATGTTTTGTGATGTCTCACACTAAGTTGTATACAAGTAGGCGCCCTAATCAAAACCCATTACAAAAGCTACTTTTGGAGTGGCTTGCTAGGTTTTCGATTGTTGCAATGAGAGATGAAACATAATTTTGAAAGGTCCATGAAAATCGAAAGGTGTTCACTTGAGCTTCAAAGAGACTTTACAATAATAAATGAATCGGCAATAGACGATTAATTTAAATGCAGCCTGTCGAAATATTATGTCATGAACACTCATTGTCATAGGAAATAAACAACTTAAATCTTCCTAGAAAATCAGCTCCCACATGCCTCACCAGAGCTCAATCTAGGGTTGACAACCACAAAAAGCCTGGAAACTAACTCCAAATATATTGGCGATGCAGTTCAGGCAAATGCAAATCTTCAACTTATGTAATGAGAACTCAACACATTCACAACAGAATTATTCATAACGACATTTAAGGCATGCTAACGGCCGAACATTGGAGTTCACATCATCTTTGCCCCCTTCTCCAAAAGACACGAGGATCTATTAGACCAAATAAAAAGACTAGCAACTATGTGGGCGAGAGTAATAAAGAATAAATTCGCGAAGATAGACTCCAACACAAGATTGTTCTCTCCATGATATAGAAGGTTAACTTGCAGTTCGACAATGGCATCACCCATCTAGAATACCGGAACTTCAGCACGACGCTCTGCGAAGCAATCGTCTTAAAATTTCACAAAAAAAGCAAAATACCTGGCAGGTCCCACCTTTTCTCAGTAAGGATGACGCACATTCGGAATGTTGTCTCAGTTGATTTGACCACGGTCCCATCAGTTGATAGGTTCAAGAGGAGAATCAGTAAACACGTAATCACTCACTTGGTTGTCTATGCTTGACGCATGTCTTGTAACTTACCTACCGTCATCATTCTCACATATTGGTAAGTACTTTTTATTTTGATTATTATCACCGTTTCCTCTATAGTACTTAAATTTCCGCCTTCTGACACTGTCTGCATTACTACCTAATCACCTTAGTTATTTAGTTCTTCAAACGATCGTCTTCTCTCAATATTCAAATTTTCTGTGTATCATTCTCCCAGTCCAACCAAGCAACCATCTGTTTAGTGATCCTACTGCTCTGATACCAAACCACTCACTCAAGTTATAAATTAACACAAACCCACAAATAACCGCAAACCAGACGATTGACTGAACTATCGACCACTGGACATTGCTAAAGATCTGTGACTGTACTGAAAAAGCAATGAGTAAGAGTAAAGAAATTAACCAGTTCATGCAAGGTTGTTACAAAGTAGTCAGCTATATTTTATATTGTGAGCGGCTCTTCAAACGATTGCGCTTCCGTTAAAACTGTGGCATCTACATGTTCATGCTCAGGATTATTTGCCAATTTATAATTCAGCCCAACAAACATGTAAAATCCAAAGTACACGTTATCCTACTGTGACTTTGTAAAATAGAGTGAAGTTTAAGAAAAACAGTGAGACTGACTTTGGGGGAATTTCATCGCATCTAGGAAAATTTTGGGGGTTTTGTGCCATTCCCCCAAATTATTCTGTAGCGGTTTCCTCAAAATAGAGAGATTGGGTTATAGACAACCTTTAAAGGTTTTAGCTCAATGGAGCGACAATAAAGCGACTTTAAAATAGCTCACCTACCTAATATGGCCTAAAATGACTGTAGGTCAGTGCAAGGAATTAGGATTGGAAGTCAGGGTTTCCATCACGAACTGGCAACATTGGAAATGTTAAAATCCTATTCAACTAAAGTCCAGGAACTGCCGTCTTAAACCCCATTGGTCTTCCCGTGAATTGTAGTCTATCCTGAAGAACGTCTGAATTCTGAAGCTCTCAAAAAGTCACTACGACACACGGCTGATAGTTAGCTACGGTACTTGGGTAAAACAGTTAAATGTCGTTTTCGACTCAATAAGTTAATCAGCTCGATGAAATTAGGTTCCACTGCTGGTTTTATCCATTAGTCTAATTACTTCGTCCTGAGTGCCCATAGTCGACATCCAGACAAAATCTAATTGTAATTGACTCTAGCTCATCTTTTTAAAGGCTGTAATGAGGAAAAGTAATATATCAAACATTCTCCTGACCTAGTGACACTTCAATTTATGTACCCTGCTTATTATCATGGACAATCTCACAAAACTCCGAATGAAGCTTTTTTAAAGGCAGTTTCACTTGTGTGATTAACGTAAGATTTGGCGATCTGTCTTCCTTTTTGTACCGTATTATTCATGGCCTAGATCTCTTCAAGAATACTGATGGAGAGGTTTTTTTTCGTAACCACTTTTAGCTTGCTCATCTCACTACAGGTATTCGTGGATTATTCATGTTTTTATATTGTTCAGACAGGAGAATTCATCTTTTTGGTAGTCACTTACGCAATCATATTAAGAAGTGACTGAAGTAAAGTTAATGTATGTGTGAGCAAAATTTACCGAATCCACTATTTGTTGACAAATATGATAGTTTAATAGCTTCTCAATTATACCTATCTTCAATTGAAAATCACTGTACTGAGCTTGCTATTATCGCTTTAAAAAATGTGTTAATTTAGAGAATCAGTAGTAAAATAAAAACCACACAACAATCATCATTTTCGGGTTTATAAAACAACAAAATAAGCGAGAAATAAGTTGAAATATTTCATGAATTCGGACTAAGCCAAATGAACCTAAACACCATATTCACATTCATTATGGCTCATCCTATATAACATGTGTATTGCGTCAAAACGAGTGTTCCTAGTTTTTCAGTGTTTTTCCACTTTAAGAACCTTGTTGTCAGTCGTTTCACTAAGTTCTATTTCTTACTAGTACTGCTGCTTTAAACGTCTGAGAGCCTTTATTTATCCCAATTAGTCCTTAGCCAAACGTCAATGACCAACAAAAAATTTCGGTAAAGTCATGAGTTCCATTCGGGTCATTCCTTTGGGTAAGTTTGTTTTGAGATCATTTACATGACTCATTTCGCTTAATAGGCGCTGGGCAAGATGTTGGTAGAAGTTGCATTCTTGTCACTTTGGGTGGCAAAAATATTATGTTCGATTGCGGAATGCACATGGGCTATAACGACGATGTAAGTGTTCATCGTAATCATTTCATTGATTCCTTTAAGAGAAAATTTCCTGACTTCACTTACATTACCGACAAAGGGGGTCTCAATGATTACCTGGATTGTGTGATTATTAGGTATGTTTAGTTAGTTTGCATTTTCGTGTTTTTATCGGCAGTCATTTCCATCTCGATCACTGTGGAGCTCTTCCCTATATGACCGAAGTAATAGGCTACGATGGTCCAATCTATATGACTCATCCTACCAAGGCAATTTGCCCAATACTTTTGGTAGGTACTTTCCATATTGTATCCTTATATTTGCAGGAAGATTATCGTAAAATCAATGTTGAGAGAAGAGGAGATCAAAACTTTTTCACTTCTGATATGATATATCGGTGTATGACGAAAGTTAGGTGTGTGTATATACATCAAACAGTCAAAGTAACTGCATTAATTTTTAATTTTGAGTCTCTTAAAAGGTAGATGATGATCTCGAAATACAGGCATTTTATGCTGGTCACGTTCTGGGAGCAGCAATGTTTCTTGTACGTGTAGGAACAAATTCTGTCCTGTATACCGTAGGTTGCTTTCTAAAGATATCACTGGGACTTTAGGGCGATTACAACATGACACCTGATAGACATCTTGGTGCAGCTTGGGTTTCTCGTTGCCGTCCAGATCTTCTCATTACGGAAAGCACTTACGCAACCACGATACGAGATTCAAAACGTACAAGAGAACGGGAATTTTTGGAAAAGATTCATGCTCGCGTTGAGGCTGGGGGTAAAGTAATTGTTTCTTTATTTGCGACATCGATAGGTATTAATCCCTGTCTTTGCCTTAGGTCGAGCTCAAGAACTTTGTATATTGCTTGAAACATATTGGGAAAGAATGAATATTTCCGTCCCAATATACTTCTCCATGGGAATGGCGGAAAAAGTATTTTCAAGAACATTAAGCCACCTAATTACCATTTATTTAGGCTAATGAGTATTACAAGTTATTTATCTCGTGGACAAATCAAAAAATCAAGGAGACATTTGTAAAACGAAATATGTTTGACTTTAAACATATAAAGGTAGGTACAATTTACGTAGCTTCCCACTTAAGCACGTTTTAAAAGAATTTATGGGTTTAATTGCATCACATCCACTAGAAATCTCTTTCGGACAAATCCAAACAACCAGTTTCCCTGTTACTTTCACAAAACGTCAATAGATCACTAGTCATCATACGTGACTCACTGCTCTGTTTTTATTTTATGAGTTCATAAAAATCACCGCTTAACTATTATGGCACAACCCATTGAGCACTGTCAGGTTAATGTATGAGCAAGAAAGATACGTTAGCTGTGCATGTATTAGTACCCCCAAATGCTCTAGTACGGTCGAAAGTGGGTAGGGTCCACCCTCCCTCTCTAAATGCTCTCATATGGCCACGCGTATACAGCCTCTGCCAGGGAAGTCCTAATCACTGCCTTCTCGCACTACAGGTCTTGTTTACGAAATTGAGGGGACGAAAAGTGGTGTCTGTCGAGCATTGAGTTATAATCTTTATGGTTAAAGCTCTAGATGGATTAATAATTAGTTGTAATACACTTTTGTGGACATAACAATGACATGGACTCGTTTACTTTGTATATTCCCGCAAAGGTTGAATATTGTTTTACTTTTTGTCCACTCGTTGGCATATGATTCTCATCAAGTGGTATTAAAGTGAGCTCAATAAAATCGATTCTTTTTTGTCAGCTTTTACAGCAATTAGTCTGTTTCAAACGCAAGTTTTAAGACAGTAAGGAAAGGTATAGCACAGCCACTACATTTCTCAAAGCCAAATGTGATATCTCACTTTACTGGGTTACTTGACCTTTAAGATTATATCAACAAATGCCAATCTGTTAGTAATTCGAATAGTTAGTGTGGTATACAGTCGCTGTGTATGTTGGTGTTTTAAGACAATTTCACTTCGTAATAGTTGTCGGTTCAGCACTCCCACAATATGGAGACTACTATTAGAGTAATCACTGATATCTCTGAGAGCACTTGCTTCTTTCCGCATTATTTGGTAGTGACCAACCGTTCAATCCTAAATCTATGTTTCATCCTACTCAAGACTCATTTTTGGGATGTACCTGTACTTAAATTCCCTACCGATCCTACTTTAAATATCAGTATTTTCCATTAAATAATAACTGCCTCTTGTTCAACAAGTAACAATTTTGATTAGAGCTTAACATTTCTTATTGTTGATTGACAGAACCTAAATGGCTGGGGATTTTTGACACATCAGACTATGACTGTTGGGAGAGAACTCTATTAATAAATTATTATTTAGTTCAGATTTCCTTTGATGATAGATTTCCATCAGACACCAACATGTCACGGTTAGTATAATAAGACTTTTTATATGAATCAGTTAATTTCAGTTGGCTTGATCCCCCTGGTTCATTTCAGTAGATAATTCACTTTTCCCTCCCTATCTCACTTTGCTATTGAGCTCTCTCGTTTCTTAGTTTAGGAAATTGGTATAAGTAACATTAGTTCAACTGACCGCTAAACTTTTTTACTAATTTTTTAAATTAACATTTTCATCCTAATTATAATTTCTTTTCAAACATAAGTATCATTGAAGCAATTTCAAGTTCTGGTTCATTGTGATATTTTCATATCTTGAAATAGCCTCTTGGGCAAGGAACAGTCGATAATCCAGGACCAATGGTAGTCTTTGCCACACCAGGTATGCTTCACGCTGGACAATCCTTGCATATATTTCGTAAATGGGCTTCAGATGAAAGAAATATGGTTGTAATTCCAGGATATTGTGTTGCTGGAACTGTGGGTTATAAGGTTTGTGTGTATATGTTTTGATAGTACCTTTGTTTAAGATTACCATAAAATAATTCCTATTCTTAACAAGTTTAGGATAAGATTATGAAAATAAAATAAATTCCTTTTTGCCTAAAGGCTTTCCATCATTAGTAGAGAGTTTAATATCACAATAAATGATAGAATTTAAAATGAACTAATGACTTATTTGAACTGTTACTGTTTTGCATTAAAGTTTAACAGTGCAAGATCAAGCAGTGTTTCAGGAGAAAAACTAAAATTGTAATCTATAGTGGAAATTATTTTATATTTTTGTTGGATAATAGCGCAAAAGAAAGTGGCTAATCTTAGCTCGAAAAAATTATGCTTATGGTATTTATTCATCATTTTTTGATCCTTCACAGAAAATTATTGTTATAATGCGTTACCTGTCTTATTTTATTGTTTTCAGATTTTAAATGGAGTCAGGCGTCTTGAATTCGATAAACAAGTTTTAGAAGTCAAAATGTCAGTTGAATACTTATCGTTCTCAGCTCATGCAGATGCTCGTGGTATTATGCAGTTGATATCTCATTGTCAGCCCAAACATGTGATGCTGGTACATGGAGAAGCAATTAAGATGGATTTTTTAAAATCAAAAATTGAACAAGAGTTTGGATTACCCTGTTCGAAACCTGCTAATGGAGAGATTGTACATGTAGAAACGGAACAACAATTCATTGTAGAAGCTTCAAGAGAATTTCTTAATCATTCGTATTGTATGTATTTTTGTAGTAAAATTTTACATCATTTAAGATAACCACTAAGACATGAGAAGTTTACTAACTAGTTATCTCTCTTTGCCTATCTGCCAAGTAGTAACTAAGTGCATATTTATGTAAGTGAAATAATGTATTTTATGTACAATAGTTCATCTTTTACCTAATATCTCTAGATCTAGTTTACTTAATTTCTAATATTATACAGCTAAATGTTTTGTAGATTTTAATAGGGATGATTAATTTACGAAAATTATCCGTCTGCATACATATTTTAGAAAGAATTGGTTCGCTTAACAGACTTCACCTAAACAGTTGAACTGCCTCTTCTCTAAAAATATAACTAAAATTTTATCACTTATAAAGTGTCAAGCTTTAAATAAAACAATCTACAGCGAATTGCCGTAGTACTTCTCACTTTTTTTGCTGTTTCCATTAGATCCATATAAGACTGATATTACAATCAGCTTTTAGGTTCGTTCACCCTAAAACAATAAATCCCAGCTGTATTCGTATTTCTAGTATCCGTTATCATCACGCAAACTGTTGCATTAAAATATTATTTTCCATGATTGAGAATAATATTAGGATCCTTAATTTTTTAGATTCGGATGATCCAAATGAGCCACTGATTAAACGTCCTCGATCTATTCAGGGCGGAATTCAAATTGAGCCTGATGTAAGTTCAGTGTTTCCTAAAACTACCAACATGTAAAGTCTTGGGAAGTTTAATACTTCTCTAGGGTAGTACTTATCTTTTTAAATTCATTATTTTTCAACTACTAATAAGTAGGCAAATAAGATTGACGAAAATTACACTAATTCTCATTTGTGCAGGCAACTAGGTCTTTTCGTTAAGACTTAACAGCCTTCGTAGTAATTTTTGTCGTCCTCAAGTATACTCAAGGTATGCTCTGTATTTAATTATGGCTACGCGTGATTAAACAAACCATATTCCATCTGATGGTATCATTTTATTGAATTATTGTTATGACTTGTCAGTTGTTATGTTGGATTAGTTTATTACTTATACGACGCGAAGTAACAACATCAAGACTGGTACGAGTAAATATTTATTTAACTCAAAACACGACGACCCTAATCGAAAACAAACTCGTTTATGTATTGATTGTGAACCCATTCGATTATTAATTAGGATGAAATCACATATATGAAAAGTACCCAGATTTATAACAAATCACATGCTGTGTGTCATGTTGAGAATTGTTCATGTTAATTTATTACAAGAATATTGTATCTTGAAAAAACATCACAATCAAATAAATCAATGTTATAACGAATAAAATATCATACTGGAACACTAAACAACTAGTACTTTGAATCACCATAATATTGAATTAAAAAAGATGGAAGTAATGTTTGACAAAAATCACAATGAGTAAAAAAATGCAATTTCGCTTTTTTAACTCGTCATATCACCTCCCCTTGTTTTTTAAAATCGAATACGTTTCCCGTACAAAGTCTATTCGATAAGTAGTAGTTCCATTTCGTACTCGCTGGGATCTCAGCCGGTTACTTGGTCGTGTTCCAGCTTCCAGTTGGTTTTTTAACTTCATTTTAAAAATTCTATTTAACCCTCCAACTTCTACGCTCTTCTCCTTCGTTCAATGCATATATGATTCAACCTCCCTCATGAAATAATATTGGGTCTTTATGTACCCACGTTACAAACAATGTTACGTTATTGATCTGAACTGTATCAATACTACTCATGCCTTCATTATATGGGAGTATCGTGGCATGTGGGTATAAGTAAAGATTGAAGGATCCTTTTGTATGATCTTGACTTGTATGGTCAATATCATACATGTTTATTGTTCCACCCTTCATACAAAAACACGATGTCGTCATTCCATTCACAATATGAATAACCACTTTTTACATTTTGACTTGTCAGTAACAATCTATGTGATTCATGTAGGCTCAGTTTGTCTCCAAAGCTGCGTTCTACATACAGGTATATCGCAATTGGACTAACTTTGAATTGTTGAAACAAGGTTCACGTTTTTGTATGTGACATTCACTCTGTCCGAATAAACAAGATATATATTATCAAATTCGTTGGTTATCTTTAGATAACTATAACGAATATTGAAATTCGATGACTGCTCATTATACAATTTTCCAAAAACACAGTGCTTTGTGCGAATCGGTCGTATTTAAGTTTTTTGGAGAGATGAAACTGGCTCACCTTATCTTCATTTGACCTCAGCTTCATAAGGTGATCATAAACTTTTGAGCCAGTGTCTGGTTCAGCCGCTTCCGTCTTGAATAAATCTTCATTTCTTTCTCCATAAAAACCACCAAATTGCGAATAACATTCAGCTGCAGCCACATATTGTTTTAGAAATTTAACGGGTGGATTTGTTCTTTATTGCTATTTTTTTCATCTTTTCTTTCAGGAAACCCCTAAACTACTTGATCGTGCCTCAGTTTTGGCTTCTTTAAGTTTGAAAGAGCATGTAATGCGATTTACTTCGACGTATGCATTTTCTTCCTCTTCGAATCTCACCACGATTTTAGATAAATTTATCAAACTATGTTCAAAGTAAGCAATTTCCTTTGTCGTCTTTTAGGAATGTCGTATCATGCTTACTTCTATATAAGACTGAAAATCAATAGTATTTGCACTTTCGCAATATACTACTGCATTGGGTATAAGTAGTAATCAGTTAAGAACACCGTTTTCCTGTGTATATATTAAACACTGAGAAGTTGCATTACGTTAACAAAAGTGATTTAGATGTAGTTTTCGCCACTGGTTGTTACCGGTCAGGGAATCAGTGGAGAGTGTGAAGCATCGGAATCTTGTTTCTTTCTAGTTTGGGACTCAATGGTGCTTCCTCACCACATGACATGGGATCAAATTTCAGGACTTTCAATTCTTACATCAAACAATAGTTACGACCATTTCTTAGTTTTTCACTTCACTCCTCATTTAGGTTATAGTCTTAATTATACTACATCATTTAATATTTATGATTCGTATTTTTACTGTATAGTTTCTCTCTTTTTTACTTCATAATATTATTTCATCGTTTGCGGTACATTACATAATGCCCTACTGTACCAAACAATTGAAACAAGATAATATCAGTTACGTTGTGGGTAACAAATAATTAAGCTTGCAGTCAAAATTATCTAATTAACTCAAGCGTTTTCAAAAGCTCACTCAACTTAATAATTATTCCATATTCATTTGTAACTAGCTTCAGTATGGTTATCTTCGAAATTCTACTGGTATTCCATAAATGTTGAAGTTAACTTAGTCTAGAGTGAAACAATTATTCACGAATGACATTGGATAAAAATTGAACTGCATCACGATTTGATTAAAATTGAAAGTGTAAACCAATGAATTTCAAGTCAATAGTGTAATAGTTTCGTACTCTCTTTGAACGCTGAAGGTCCTGAATCTGTTAATTTACTTTGTTTACATAGTCCTCGATTAGAAGGAGATAGTTATTTGATTGGTCTTGGACTTGTCAACAACCTCCTCGCTCTTGTAAGTTTATTATGAAAATTATCAATGGTAAAAATAAAGGCCACAAAATACAATCTATTAGATTAGACCTATACTCCCTGTATCATCTATGAATGTGATTGTATAAAAAGAAGTCTAAAGTGCTCCAAACAGAACGGTGTATTAACCATGTGTAATGAGATTGCTTTATAATTTCGATTTCTGTTAGGGAAGATCAATATTGCATCATTTGAACGTCGCGCTTTCAGTCTATGAATTCATCAGTTGTTGGACTGAAGCGTATAGGTAGGTGCATACTACGTGTTTGGGGTCCGGGTGACTATAATAATGAATAATTAAAGACTATGAGTGACGTGGCTCAGAATTGGTCGCTATGGCACAGATTCATTCACTATTTGTCTTCCCTTAGATCCTAAGTTTCCCAATTGTCTCACCTCACGAATCTATATTTTCTGGAATCATACATTCTATGACTAGTGTTTTCTACTACCAGTAATACTGTTACTAATTACACTACTCTAGCATCTCATTGCGCTATGTGGTGTGACAACTTAAACTGATGGATATTTATGTCGGGTTACACGTTTTGTATGACTAACTCTTTCAACTTGGTCAGAAATCAAGATTTTTTTAGAAATATAGATTTATTCATTGGATACAATAAATTTGATCTCATATGTTTTGTACGGAAGGTGGTCGTTCTACTTCTCTGTTTTATTAACTTATATACATATCGAATGAAGAAGGACCAATAATCGTAACAGAATAATATCAATTGACTTATTTCGTGAATCCAATTCGAGTGCTTACAACCTAGAAACAATAATATAAATTATTTAGAAAACAAAAGGACGTACACATTTTATGTGTTAAAAGTCATTGATTGGAATCGGGTTTTACAATTTAGACGTAGATTTATAAAAGATAGTAATTGTAGGAGAATTGTACATATTGGATAGGTGATCAGACTTATGAGTTCAGTTATTTGACTGACTAAGGACTAAACTGTCAACTAAAATTATTTTCTCACAACACAAAATAGCAGTTGACATTGTAGTTATCTCTGTAATGTCAAAACACACACGTCAGCGCATTACGTACTTAGTATTCCCATCAAATGTGAACGATTCTCCACGATCGAATATACAGTCGATATGATCATCCTCAGAGGGGCGAAAACAGTTTTTGCAAGCATAAAGCAGAACTGTTCATACTGACCAATGAAATAGATTTGGAAATCAACCTAATTAGAAAGTATTGAATAAACTGAGATTTTTAAGCTACTAATAAATTGTTTGCCTTTTAAAACAATTATTGTTTCAAATATTTATAAATTGTTATGTTTTATTATTAATCTATGATTTGAACTAACTACTGAATTTGGTACAGTAGAAGCTACGTATTATCCAGTCAACTGTTTACAAGTGAAATTCTAAACTTGTGAACAACCTATGGTTTCTCATCCAATTATCTCTTTGTGATTTTGAAAAATATGTAATCGGTCACTATCGTAGTACACACTTATTACGTAACTAATATCTTATCGGTTCCCACAAACTCTACAAGCCGATCACTATATACCTATTTCATCATGACATTTACATAGTCACTAACTGATATTAGCATCATTATTTTCATTACTATTTCATGTAACTATGCGAAGACTTCATCAACATTCCCGTTAAGTTACCAATTTATTTTCGAAGAAATATGTGTATGAACGTGAATAACCTCAGAGGATTGTTGTATCAGGATTTTCATGATAATTTAAGCGTACGAAAGAGATTAAAATGTCAGTTTGGAAATTTACAATTGTAGTAATTTTGACATTCATACCAATAATAACAATACTCAAACTTATCCTTTATAACCTGGATTAAAGGACTGGTTTCTGTAATATAGAAGTCATGATTTATACTAAAAAAACTTGATTAGTTTGAGCAAGCTTCGGTTTAATGATCTCAGATTTCAACTACTTGACAAACTACCAACTGAACTACTCTAAGCCTATTTTATATCATGAGTGAATGGTAATCATCATGAAAATGTGATAAATTAGACAGATAACTTTTGTCTTTATAAACCCTGATAGCGATTTGTTCTGTTTATACCAAGTATATTGAT